AGGTCCTGTCAGACCAACCTGATTGCCTTCTACGATCAGGTCACAAAAGCATTGGACGCAGGTGTCGCGGTGGATGTAGTCTTTCTGGACTTCAGCAAGGCCTTTGGCACTGTCTCCCACCCCATTCTCATCAGAAAACTAGGTGACTGTGGCATTGATGCCTACACAGTCAGATGAATTGCAAATTGGCTGAAGGGTCGTACTCAGAGGGTAGTGGTAGACAGGTCTTTTTTGACCTGGAGGGAAGTGGGCAGCAGAGTCCCCCCAGGGCTTGGTCCTTGGGCCCGCGCTGTTCAATTTCTTTATTAGTGACTTGGACGATGGGGTAAAAAGCAGCCTGTTTAAATTTGCTGATGATACCAAGATTTGGGATGAGGCGAGCACACTAGTAGGGAAGGACACATTACAGCAGGACCTGGACAGGTTACAGTGGTGGGCTAACGAAAATAGGATGGGTTTCACTACTGACAAGTGCAGGGTGCTGCACTTGGGCAGTAGGAACCGGCAACACACTTATAAGCTGAGAAACTCCCTTCTCGAGAGCACGGTGACAGAAAGAGATCTTGGAGTCATTGTTGACTCCAAGATGAACATGGGCCGACAATGTGAGAACACGGTCTCTGGGCTAACCGTACCTTGTGAATCCACAGATGTATCTCAAGCGGAGCCAAGGAGGTGATCCTCCCCCTCTATGCGACACGGTCAGGCCGCAGCTGGAGTACTGTGTTCAGTTCTGGGCACCGCACTTCAGGATGTGGACAGCATTGAGAGGGTCCAGAGGAGGGCCACCCGCATGATCCGGGGACAGCAGGGCAGACCCTATGAAGAGAGGCTATGGGACCTTAACCTGTTCAGCTTTTACAAGAGAAGGCTGAGGGGGGACCTGGTGGCCGTCTATAAACTCACCAGGGGGGACCAGCAGGGTTCGGGAGAGACCCTGTTCCCCCTAGCACCCCCCCGGGGTAACAAGGAATAATGGCCACAAATTGTTAGAGAGTAGGTTTAGACTAGACATCTGAAGGCACTACTTCACAGTCAGGGCGGCTAGGATCTGGAATCAACTTCCAAGGGAAGTGGTGATGGCTCCTACCCTGGGGGACTTTAAGAGGAAGCTTGATGTCTACCTGGCTGGGGTCATTTGAGCCTGGTTTTCTCTCCTGCCCAGGGCAGGGGGTCAGACTTGATGATCTACAAGGTCCCTTCCGACCCTACTTCTGTGAATCTATGAAAAGAGAGGGGCAGGACTTTTATTGTGCATCAGCTGCTCTATGGAAACTTCTCAGAATCATATTTTTACCCCCAAGTGCAAATAATCCACAGTAAAGCCCCACTTTTCTTTGCCTTAGTAGAGACTTGTTTGTGTGTTACTGCATTTAATGTAGGTATTTTTCCTGAAGACAGGAGAGACCCCCTTATCAGTATTAAATATCTTGTCTGTCAGTTTCTGCTGGTACTTCCTGGAAAGGTTTGGGGCCTTTTTCCTCTATGTAATAGTCCGAGAATAAGTTTTGTCTTTGTAGGAAGGCAGCAGTTGAGGTCTTAGATCAGGGCTGGGCAAAATGGCAGATTTGGCTGGCGGCCAGATTCCATTTCCCAGCAGCTTCTGCCTGCATCACTGCCGCTAGTTTTCAGCAGGGGTGAAGCTGTGACAGCATGGGGCCACGGTTGCCATGAGACTGACCCCAGCAGCACTGGCAGGGCATGTGGCTGGGTGAGGAGCTGCTCTGGGGCTGGTACTGGGATCTTGAGGCAGTGACAACATGATCTGGAGCCAGGGCAGAGCTGCCATTTGCTGCCTGCATGCCCCTGCCCACAGCACTGAACTTCTGTTGTGTTACAAATATGAACGGGTTTCTGATCACTTCTTCTGGTTTATGTGTAATTTTTGTCCCTAGTCCCTGACAATAGCACTGGTAAGTACAGAATAAATGCAGAGACCCATATTTATGTTATTACTGTGGCTCCTTAATAATGCAGGTACTTTTGAAAATAGAACTTGGGCTCCAAAGTCACTTAAGGACTTATGAAAATGTTATTCAAGAATGTTGCATTCTAGTGACTTTGTCAGTAGTTCAGGTAAAATTCCCTTATTAAATCCTTAGGCCTATAGCACTTACACAGTTACTTTAAACTGGGGACATCACGCACATGGCCCCAGGCTGGATCAAACCTGTAGAGCTATTTCAGGCATGGAAGAGAGGAAAGACAATGAATACATAAGAGATGTTTTAATACAGATTTTTATTTGGGGATTTTTAACAGGAAAATATACCAACATTTTCATTTTTCAATTTCTAGAAAGGCCACAATTTAATTATTATTTACAGGTTTGGCAACATTATCTTTCTATAAATTTATTTAAGAACCAGATAAATATAAGTCAATTACTTGGCAGAGTTGTTGTGCAGACACATTGCAACTATTTTAATAGAGTTTAAGATTAGTTGTAACCAGTCTTAAAATGTTTTAAACAGACTTTTTAATACATTTTTTGTCTTGATGCTTCTGTTATTCTAGACAAGGAGGTAGATGAGCTATCCGAGCAGAGAAGGCTTCTGCTTTCAAATCTGCAGCAAACTCAATGCATTGCAGGTAGCCAGTCAGGTCCTATCTTTTATATATAGGAGGTATGGTGGGATGAGGCTTCGTATAGGAAATCTAAGAGGGTGGTTGGGGTAAAAACATGCTAGTAATTTCCAGCCTCTGTCCCCTTGTTTGCTATACATCACTCTCAGTTGATTTTGCAGATGACCATATGTTCTTTCTCAATTCCATGAGATTTGCTTTTCCTCAGATGGCTTCAACACATCCTGGAACCCTGGTTAGCCTTTAGAGGTTGATCCCTTTTGGTGGGATTCAGTTGTCTTCCTCTGATAGCACAGACACATATATAAATCATATTGAAAGAAGGGAGGGGCAGGATTAACTGTACAACACCTACTGTACAAAAGTGAAGATTGCTCATCTTCTACATGTCACAACCCAAAAGGGTGTGATTTTTGTTTTTGTGTGCTTCGGCACTGCTAAATTGTTCCCGCTAAATAATAGCTTCTTTGCACGGTGGAGTTTTCTGCTGCAAAAGAGAACCCCGGTGCAAGGGAGAATTTCCCGCCAATTTGAAGCTTTCTTTGCAGGGTGCATTTCTTTGTTGCAGCACAGAAATGCTCGTTGCAAAGAGTTCCCGCCATTTGTATGCTAATTTGAGCCCCATTATTGGCCAGTTCTAAATTATTCACACGTGGCGGCTAGTGATTGGCTTGCTAGCTGTATAAAAGGCTTGAGTGGTTTCCGCCCAAGTTGGAGGACTCCACGAACACCAGGAGGAAGAGACTTCACGCTGTGTGAAGATCTCCAAGCGCTGCGGATCCTTATGGACCCAGCGCATTTCAAGCAGGCAACAGGGGTCTGATCAACCTCTAGCCTCTCCCCGTCGCCGATCGCAGCCT